GCACTTATGTGTCGCCTATCTCCAGAGACTTCATGCTTTTCTCTATGCTCTTCGTCTCCTTACACACAGAAATCACAATTGCGTGATGCATCAAATGAACAAATCCACAATGGCCTCGTCACGGCCCTTGTGGATTTATTCATCTGCTTTCTAATTGTCAATCTTCCTTTGTGATTGTCGTTGACACACTTAGTGCCCTCATGGCTCTTGGGTCCTTTAATCCGGTCCATCCAGTGGTCGTAGAGATTCAACATTGGCCGTTTCTTATTGCCAGTAAATTTAAGTGTCGAGTTTTGCTGGGTTCCCAGCCATATTGGCGTTTTTAAATAAGCGTGCAGACACTGCCGCTAGGAAAGCTGTCCGCTCTTGTCCCATTTCCTGTAAAGCTATTCCTTACTCAGACTTTTACCCAGTTATTTATTCCTCCATCCTTACCCGTTGGCAGGAATGCTGGTCTTCTGTTACTGGTAACAAATTGCGTACTCTAAAAAGTTGTTCTCACGGCCCTCCTCCTGCCACTAACCAGCGATGGGAAACGACTCTGGCGAGGTTGCTCATTTGCCATACATGCTTAACTGTCACTTAATGGAGCGCCATCTTTCTGGACAATAAGGCACAGGCCTTATTGTTCAGAATTGCATTGTCCCTCTTACAGTCGTGCATATCTTTGTTGAATGTTATGACTTCCAGGACGAGCCTGTCTTGCTTTATTACCGTCCCTCGCGGTCACTAGAATTCTTGGTGAATAGGATACTTTTGATATCGTCCGCCTCATGCGTTTGTTCTCTTATTGGCATCCTTGGTGATATTTAGTGTCCTCCGATTACTCTGCACATTTGGTGGTGTTACAGCGTTTCTGGTTTGGCGCCTTCCTTTTGACAATTTCTTACGCTACCGAAATGCCATGCGTGCTAGTGGATTTGCAAGAATGTAAATTCATGCTATGTACTCAAACGCAATGTACTTTGTATACAACCATTTATGCTCCATTGATTACCGACCACAACCTGTTGGGGTCGGCTATAAAGTCTTACCGACCAATTATGAACTGGACAATTGCACCGTTAAGAGGTGGCTTATCTAGGTATTAGTAGCAAGACTAAACGAAATTAAAAACTCTTTATTAACATTATTAAAAATGGAGGTTGTGCCTTTGTAGCAATTCAATTTTCTTCAATATCATCAAACATATCAAATTCCAGGAGACCGCGTCCTGAAACACTTAGAAAATCTACCAAATCTTTAGCTCTCTGGGTACTCTTTCCCAGCGACTTAAACGCCTTTTCTAATAACAAGTCTGCAGATTTTGAGTTTTCAGAGGATCCCTGTTGTATTTTTGCAGCAGAAAGTCTCATTTTTCTCAACATGGTCTCTGGATCTTTGTTGAGAGTCAAGTAAAAGTTTAAAGTACTTTCAGCTGCAATCAGCAAAATACTGTGAGCATAGTTAGGTTTAAGCGCTATTTTAGCTTGTCCCTTCCAGTAAAATCCGATTAACATGTATATGTACTGGGCCAAAATTACCCCCGCCACCAACATAATAAGCTGCTGTCTAGACATCACCAAACCTGGAAAGAAATTAAAACAATAAACTGATCGGGCTTCCACAATATAAACACAGTAATGCACTTTGAAATTCTAAGACAATAAAAATGGGAAAATATAAATCTTAAAAGTTCCCCAGAAATAGTTGATATATACTTCAGAGTGCAAAAAAAATCTGTCCAACCACAGGCGAGGAGTCCAAACTGTACAAGGTGAAGGCCAGAACTGAGCAGCTCGGGGCCGCCCGCCCGCGAACTAACCAACAACTCCGAAATATTCAGAGTTGTGGCCTCAGGAATCAATAACACAGCCCGTCCTCCAAACAAAGATCCAAAAGTGATTCCATGCACCCGCCAAACCCCCTGTTTATGAATGAAAAGCGGTTTACACACTAATCACAACTGCTGACCTTCGAACATATCCGGAACAAGTGCTTCACTGACGAATTTTGTTCGAATCACAACGCTGTAAATGCTTCACCCACGTACTACAAATACAAATAATCGCCAACAGAACCTAAACACCTGACCTAACCTAACCTATGCCTATATATACACAATATGCTAATATATTATAATATTAATTTATAATTTTTTATACAAAGTGCATTAATGTGGTTCCTCAATGGATGTACATTAATTTAATCCCCCAAAGGGATTATATCAATTTAATCCCTCAATGTTACTATATAAATTTCGTCCCTCAAAGTGCTCGCATCCATTTGCCCCGCAACAAGGCAACATTTGTACTCGATTTCAATATAAACTGTTTTTTGCTTGCATGACCTGTCACATTAGCTACACGCCTTGTTCACAACAGCGAGGTAAGTATAACTGGAACCATCAACACTAAACATCAGTGATACTAACTCTACTAGTATACTAACTATACTAGTATACTAACTATACTCTACATATAAAAGGTATTAGTAACTTAACGGTGTATGAAATCTAAGCATCATGTAGCACAACATTGAGCCAAAGTGTAGGTAGAGTTTAATAACTTAGTATTTGACATGAACACCCATCAACTGACATAACGAACCATTCGTATGGTATAATTAAAGTATTTTTCTCAAATATAAATAATATGCATAGTGGGTTTAGGCATAGTTAGGCTTGCTGTATAAGATCAGATACTGTGTTTTGGTTACGTTGCTTTAACAACCTGTTCTCAGGCCAGGCTCGTTAAAGAAGCGGCCATCGCCCAAGATGCAGTCATTAAAATTTTAACGTATTGCTTATTCAAATTTGTATTTTATAAAATTTCATAACAGAATGTGTATAATAGTTAGACTTAACCAAGATGGTTAGGTTCTGTTGGCCATTGTTAGTATTTGCGGCAGAGATTGACTGAGTGCAAGACTTTGATATTGCAACTGAATTCAATAGCTTCTTTTCATCAATTGGTGCTAACCTTGCCAGAAAAATCCCAGAGACCTAAACATACCAAGACCCAAGAGACCCAAGAGTTACTACATATCTCACAGGCAGCTATCCTAACTCTCTACTCCTTTTACCAGTCAGCCCGACAAATAATATATTCATAATTTAATCACTTAAAACCAAAGCTGGGAGCATTAATGAAATACCATCTGTAATATATAAGAGTGCTGCCTCTGCTCTTGCACTACCCATAACTCTGCTATTCTACAAATCTCTAGAATTTCATATTTTTCCCAATATCCTTAAAAAAACAAGCGTGCCGCCAGTTTATAAAGGAGCTGACAAACAATTACAGACCAATATCAAGTCAACTTATATTTTCAACAATACTTGAAAAAAATCATTTATAAATAGCTCTATTCTTACTTTGTAAAACTCAACATATTAAATCTCTGTCAGTTTGCCTTCCGTTCTCAAAAAGAGTACCAATGATACCATTATTAATCTGCTTAATATAATCTACACAGCCCTTGACAAAAACCGGGTTCCCAATTGCCCTCTTCATTGACCTCTTCCTGGAAAGGCCTGTGATACTGTAAACCATAACTACGTCTTACTTAAACTTCACCACTATGGTATCCGAGGCCATGCTCCGAGGCAGGCATGCGTTTATTTTGTTTACAAGAAGGTACAAGGGGGGTTTGTGAGAGTATATAATATTGATATTGTTACATTCTTGCAAAATCCACTAACACAGCGTGTCGGGCAGAAACACTATGCGAGGCGCCTAGTGGCGGAGTTGAAACTAGACAGCTGGTTGTTGTTGTTGTTATAGATTAAGCTACTCGGAACAAGTTCCAAGTAGCACGGGCTATGGTGAGCCCGTAGTGGACTTACCTGGCACAGGAGCGGGGGACAGCTGGTGCTGTGAAGAAGATTAAGCCACCTCAGTGGAGACGCGGGCACAAGTAGCCGTATATAGGTGGTATAGATGTTAGGAAAGATCCCCAGTTACAGCCCCGCTCCTGTGCCAGGTAAGTCCACTACGGGCTCACCATAGCCCGTGCTACTTTGAAACTTTTGTTCTAAGTAGCTGAATCTAAAACAACATAGGAAAGATTTATGTTGTAAAAGGATAGTTGCAAATTGATTGTGTCGATCCAAGGGAATTGGATGGTTAGCTAGTAGGTTACCAGGTCTCCTTTAATATCACCGGGAGACCTAAGTCCAGGTGTGGTATATACCGTGTTGCGTGCACATCTCAGTTGTCAGTCCTCAGTCCTTGATTGATGAAGATTAACCCATCCCAAGAGGTGGCACGGGCATGAATAGCCCATAAAGAATATCTGCTGCTGCTGCTGTTTTAGATTTAGCTACTCAGAACGAAATGTCCATGTATAACGGGCTATGGTGAGCCCGTAATTGAGTTCGGTTATTCGTGATAATCTTCTTACTCTGATTAAGGCAGCGTCTGGGATGTGCTCGGACGTAGGTTCGAATCCTCGTCACGGCCCTTGTGGATTTGTTCTTACTCTGATATTTGGGTCAAAGTCTGCTGGTCGTGTTGTTGTTTAAGATTCGCTACTTGGAATAAAAAAGTTCCAAGTAGCACGGGCTATGATGAGCCCGTAGTGGACTTACCTGGCACAAGAGCGGGGCTGTAACTTGGTGCTGGTGCTGATTGATTGATTGATGAAGATTAAGGCACCCAAAAGGTGGCACGGGCATAAATAGCCCGTAAGTGGTGGCCATTTTAAGCCATTACCAGTATCAATAGATGATACTGGAGATCTGTGGAGGTGCGACTGCACCCTGCGTGACGGGAGATGCCTCCCGTGTGCTGGTGCTATCTCCTTCAGTCTTATATATGCGTCCTCCTGACTTTGTATTGTACCCAGATTGTTCCTCTACACTTGGCAGGTTGACCGTTTGACCTGACGGGAAGCTCGTTGGTTACTGCCAGCTGTCCAAAGAGACTCGTGGAGATTGATTGATGAAAATTAAGCCACCCAAAAGGTGGCACGGGCATGAATAGCCCATAAGTGGTGGCCCTTTTGAGCCATTACCAGTATCAAGAGCTGATACTGGAGATCTGCCTGCACCCTGCGTGACGGGAGACGTCTCCCATGCTAGTGGAGACATTGGGACGTTGTTATATAATGTCATGAATGATTACGATACCTACGAGTAGAGAAATTCAATTAGCAGCTCTGGGGGTTTACAAACAAAATTTCAATTTTTGTTTTTTTAAATACTGAACTAGTTAGAGGATGTTGGTCCTCACAATTTCTGCAAAAAGAGATGTAACAAACAAGGAGCAACAGCTTCAAGATCAACAAGCCACGTTGTGGGACTCGCAATCTGGCAACAGGCGATGAACAAAGCCACAAGGTCTGGGATAAGCCCTTGATCATGGCCCCTTGTGGAGGATGTTTTAGATTTAGCTACTTAGAACAAAAGTTCCAAGTAAGTAATTATCAAAAAGAAAGCACCAAACCGGGAAGGCTGTGTAGCACCATCAAATGTGCGGAATAATCAGAGGACATCACCAAGGACAAAACTGCCAAGTAGCACGGGCTATGGTGAGCCCGTAACTTGCCTGGCACAGGAGCGGTGTTCCCCCCCCCCCCTTGTGAATTTGTTCACTTGATATATCACGTCATTGTGATTGTCTTTCGGGCTATTCATGCCCGTGCCACCTCTTGGAAGGCTTAGTCTTTATCAATCAATCGATGTGTGTAATAGGCGAGGCTTTTTCACCCACAGGCGTTATTGCCGAAGCCGTAGATGCCAAAACATATTTTAAAATCTACCTTGAAAAGATAAAGGCAAATGGTGGGACTTTAGACAAGCCGCCGGCTTCGTGTCCTCGTTGAGGCCAATAGGGTTAGTGGCCCTCAAGTAAATCAGGTAAATGTCAAAGGGGGTATTAAGGCAGCGTCTGGGATGCTCCTGGACGCAGGTTCGAATGCTCGTCACGGCCCTTGTGGATTTGTTCAAATCAGGTAAAAATAGTCCACTTCTATAGTTTTAGTCCAATCTGGCAAGAATTGATGGGTGGTAAACCGCATCGCACAACCTTCCTCGCGGCTGAGAAAGCACCGTAATAACTTAAAACACTAATTTATTAAAGAAATTGTAGGTGACAAAAAAACAATTACGTATTAGTCACCATCATGTGGGAAGACTATAGAGAGTGGGGAGGGAGTGGATTACCTATACTTAGGCGATTATACATACCGACAATGTTGGCTGTTATGCAAGGAGTGGGTGGGAGATAAATGGATAATTTTCAGAACATCAACATGAGCTTCAGTTAATTTTCCCACGAATCTCAAACGGCCTCACTAAAGTAGTTCATAACAGTTCTACCATGGTATGGGTACTAGGCACGGCGCCCAGGTAAGAAACTATTTTTACCTTCTAGAGGAAGATCGCCCCCTTATATCTGGTATATAAAAGGTAGACACGTTGGTTAGTTAGCAATCTAACAAAGCCCACCTCCCTCATCACGTAAGTGGTCCTGCCTGACGTTAATATCCAATACTCCTGTTTGATATGAGTAAACACGCAACCGCAATATTTTAGGCAGACCACAAAACTTGAAATGGAAGCACCCAACAACTTCAAGTGAACAATAAAACACACTTCTCTAACGTTACACCCACCAAATGACATTTCGGAGCAACCGTCAAGTAGCATTTAACACCATGTATTCCCGTGGTGTAGTGGCAAGACACTCGCCTGGCGTTACGCTAGCACTTTGTCCTCTGTTCGTATCCTGGTTTACCTGGTTGATGAGGGTTCTAGGAGTTCTATTCCCCAAGCCCGGCCCGAGGCCAGACTTGACAGTTTGGCCCACAAGGCTGTTGCTTTGAGCGGCCCGCAGGCCCACATACCCACCACAGCCCGGTTGGTCAGGCACTCCTTGAAGGAAACTAGATTGTTTCCTCTTGAAGATGTCCACGGTTGTTCCTGTAATATTTCTGATGCTCGCTGGTAGGACGAACAACCGTGGACCTCTGATGTTCATGGCTGGGTAAGATTTACTGGGCGTCAAGCCTCAACTGTAGTGTGTCTACAGTAAAATGAGTACCTGGTTTTTTTTTGGGAGGGGGTGGGGTCACAAGTAGGGAAACCATGCTATTCAGGATTTGCCAGAGACGCCATGCGTGATAGTGGCTGCACAAGAATGCAAGAACAAAGTTTTATCAGACATTACTGTGGGAACACAGGTTCGGTACCACACTAACCATGTGGGTAACAAGCGGAAGACCCCGTGAAGCAAAGCCGTGACTATCGCCCAGTGTAGTTTTTGCGTGAACACATTCTAACGCACTTACATTACGCAGGAATCGTTCGATTCTACGTCTTAGTTGTAGCAGGAAACTACCTTGGTGCTGTATAGACCTGTCAGTTTGGGGCCATCTACCACAAGATTGCTACTGTTAGGGTAGTTTTGTCTGGTCCACGATTATCCTCTCCTAGGAAGCATTAGCGCCAAGATTGGGATCGACTTAAATCTGCTAGTTCAAGTTAAGTTAAAGTATGTTTATTGAGATAAGCAATAAATACATCTCAAAGGGATAGAGTAGCTTAGGCCATTTCTACCCCCCTCTACTTCAAGTCCCTCAAGGGGCGCACAAATTCAGTGAGTACAAAGACAACAGTACAAGAAACCCATTAAACATTGCATACAGAAAGTACAGCATATAATTGTTACCTTCTTGGGGCAAAATTCTTGTAGCTCCTAAGTATACTGTCTATTATACCATTATCACACAAACAATTTTATGTGGTACACTATTTCCTTATTTCTATATTTTTCAACAAGGTGACACTAACACAATGTTCTAAGGTGTGGGCGTGCGGCATACTACATAATTTACACTATCTTTTTCACCGACATCAACACCGTCTTGCCAGATATATTTATATCTTAATCGTAATCTCATGTGAATTGAATCCTTCCAAGTAGACTTTCCTTTACCATAAGTGAAGGACGAATTTGTATTTATTATTGAATAATTCTTAAGTGTGTTACTACTGTCCACCATTGCCATTCTCTTTATCATTTCTTCACCCTCCTGAATCACCCGAGTCTTGTTTATTTGTTTCAAGGTTAACTGACATACAACATCAACAAGAGTTTTTTCAGTGGCTCTCTTCCCTATGTCATCAACTACCTCATTCAACAGTATTCCCACATGTGAAGGGATCCACATGAATCTTACTTTATACCCAGTTTTTTCTAGTCTCTTGACATTCTCTCTACACTAACACAATATTCTGATATACTGGGCGTCTGCTACTTAAAGACTAACGCTCCTCTGCTGTCAATAAAGAAGCAAGCATTTTTACCACATTTGACTACCTGTAATCCTGCTAGTTTAGATTCTTAAAATCTACCGATTAGGACATAAAAGATTAGAAACTTCAAAATAAAAATCAAGGTTTATTAACAATTAAAATGCGATGCTTATTTCTTTACAGATTTTTATCGTGCGCGAACGTGAAGATCGGGTCCGTAATGTTTGACCAGTAATTATAACAAGTTGTAAAAGCAATCACGGGTTGCGCCGCTTCCCTAGGCATACCCTGCTCTTGTAAAAGAGCAGCCATTTTCAAGTAGAGTGACTTTTGCACAGAATTGGGCTTTATTTGATAAGCCTCGTATTTTATATGGGCAAGCACCAAATCCGGATCTCGTTGGATAGTCATGATTAAAAGGAAAGCCCCACACATTTCAACCACGTAAGAGTTAAGAAACTTTTCTTCTAATAAAGCTCGTTTGCGAGCCTTCTCTGCGCTTTCCTGTTTATTGAACCTGAAGAATTCGCCAATCTTCGAAAAAAATCCAGAGTCTGCATCCTTCGCCAAACTCACCACAACCAGTATGACGACCAGGCTACTCATTCCAAGACCTAGGAAGAAAGTTAAAACCCCAATAAATGATTTAGCTTCCACATTATCGCCACATTTCAATACACTTCGAAATTTTAAACAACATATAAAAATAACATTAAAGTGCAATCACTCACGAAACATTTTATATGTCAAAGCGTAAATCTACCCAACAACAGGCGAGGTGTCCAACCCGTACAAGGTGCAGGCCAGAACTGAGCAGCTTGGGGCCGCCCGCCCGCGAACTAACCAACAACACCAAAATATTCACAGACTTGTGGCCTCAGGAATCAATAACATCATAAATCTGCGACGCATTTATTGCCAGAATACGTAGCTGACCGATAGATGGAGTTAGCTGCACCTCCCATTAATACATAGTTAACAATTAAAATTTAAATAAATAAATATATAATTATAATTTTTGTTACTCAAGGGGCTCACATCAATTTGTACGTGAGCCCCTTGAGGAAAGTGATGAAGGGGGCTTTCATCAATTTGCACTTGAACTCAGTTCAATGTAAACAGTGTTTGCTTGCATGTTCCATCGTCGCATTGTCTGCATGTTTTGTACACAACAGCTGGCCAAGTATGAACTCTGAAGCCATTTACCCTTAACATCAATGAAAACAAAGTACTAGTTTATAACGTAACCTTTATCTAAACAAACAAAGAAAAAGAGTCTGTCGGAGGGTATATACTTGGGTCTAGGCTCACCCAACTTTCCAAGATGACACGTATGGGGTATGGGAGTGTAAATGGCCAGTCGGGGTTGGCCCCAATGCTACATTATGAAATATTGGTATCTATAGCGACCCCCTGCGATTTTAATGAAGTTAAGATTGAAATTAGAGGATGTGTTTTCTTAGAGGTATTTGTCAGTTTTCGTTCTTAGTAAACTTAAATTTACTGAGAGAGGGGGAAGAGGGGTGGTGGGAAGTTTGAATAAAGGGCAAGGAAAAGAGCGAGAGATAGATGGAGAGGGGAAGTGAGGACATGTTAAAGGAGAGGGGCGAGTTGGGATGTCGAGCAAAGCGCAGAGAAAGATGGAGCAGGGGGAGAAGGGAAGATAAAGTGGGGAGAGGGGGTGAGAGAGGAGGGAGATTAGGAAAGAAGGGGGAGATAAGAGAAGGGAGGGGGAGAGAGACCCGGGCTGTGCTGGTTACCCCCATCTAGTCTACAGAAAAAAGGTAGGACATCTAGCCCAAGCTGACATACGCCGAGTTTAATAAGCCAGTATTTGACTTAAACACCGAACTATCAACTGATATCACCAACCTTTCAGACGGTATAATACACGTATTTGCCTCAAATAGAAATAAATATTATTATATATAGTGAGTTTAGGCATAGGCTTAGATCAGATTAAATAAGGTGTTTTGGTTACGTTGATATAGTGAGCTTGTACACTATAGCCGAGAGTGAACGTACCACATTCTGAGCTGGTACTCCTCTGAGTCTATTATTCTTTTTTCTGGAAGTCACGTTCAGTGACCCCCGCCATGTCATCGTCCAGCTGAACGCGAGAGTTGGAAGACCTACATCTTCACCATTACTGTGGACATCCAACTGCACATATCTGAGAAAAGATTGCGAGTGAACTTGTTCCGGACGTAGCGCCTGTCCTTCATCTTCCTGGACCTGTTAGTCCAAAAGGTCCACGAAGATGGATTTGTTGGTCATAAATGGACCTAGCTCATTTCTGTCCAACACCAAGCCGGTGTTTTATTGTGGTATAACAAAAGCATTATTGTGGTATAACAAAAGCATTATTGTGGTATAACAAAAGCATTATTGTGGTATAACAAAAGTACATAAATATAACATAAAAGCCAAAGCACCGAATCGCCCCATCAAACCAAACTAAACAAACACAGAACAAAGAAAACATGTGAACTACCTGCATATACAGTGTATAACCAAAGAAACACCGCACCACCCAGACGGGGCGTGCCAACATGACACATGACCAAAACAAGCAATACAGAACATCAACACATATAACAAAACAAGGATAAGGAGGAATGTAATCGTGACAAAACAAGGTAAAAACAACATAAAAAGGGCACCGAAGCACAAAAAAAAAACAGAAATAAAACATCAAGCAAAACAAGGAACAATCACCTCACCCGCCGACGAGTCCACTAATTCACATTTTCTGAGGAAACAATTGGCAAGGATACTTGGCTCAATACGCATCCCAAAGCGCCCACTCCTCCTACGAAGCGCCCCCCCCCCCGCCCTCCTGCTAATACGTGACGGGGTCGACGCATGAAGACAGGCAACTCGTTCTCGCAAATTCGTAAAGTCAATATTGACTTATTAACTACGTGCATAGGTGATATACTAAACATAATAGATACCCCTAAAAAGATTCATAGAAAACACCGACCTTACCTAACCTTGTTAGTATCTTAAGATAAGCATCTTATTGCTTCGTAATTACAATTATTACTTAACTTATACCTATTATAGGTTAGGTAATAATTGTAATTACGAAGCAATAAGATGCTTATCTTAAGATACTAACAAGGTTAGGTAAGGTCGGTGTTTTCTATGAATCTTTTTAAGGGTATCTATTATGTTAAGTATGTCACCTATGCAAGACAGGAACATCCTGCAACACCGAGGGCTGCTCCACGGACAGGGCGGAAGCACAGAAGAGCACATGGGGCAGCGGCACAGAGGGCTGCTACAACACACTCCGCCGAAGCACAGGAGGCGGCACCTTCTGGCTGTTTATTAATTCACTAATTTACACATTATCTTCTCTTAAAACTAGCCACGAGCTTACTTAGCAATTATCACTTAAACATCAAGCAGCAATGCAGGCTCAACTGCTTCCAAACTCAATGTATTCACTTTCCCTGTTTACAACATTATCATGGTTCACCATCCAAGACCATCCCTGATCATAACAGAATACACAGTGTTATCTTTGGAGTGAGGTGTGGCGATTGACAGACCTGTTCTCCAAACTTTCATTGTGACCTCTTCAGTTGGCTCTTTTAGATTTGTAAGTGTACATAATGATATATGGATATGGGTAGACAAAATAGCTTATCAACGGGGGGGGGGGGGGGGGGTAGAAATAGCCTAAGCTACTCTATCCCATTGAGATGTATTTTTTCTTGTCTCAATAAACATACTTGAATTACCTTTACGATCCATCTATATCTACGTATGTACCGAGTATAATTTATTAAGATAAACAGTATGAAATCGAATGTGTCTGTCTGAGGTTGGAGGACAAATGTTTGCGGCTAGCCTCAAATTTTGCAGAGCGATTGACGGGTGTAATGGGATGTTAATAGATGGGTAAAGGGGCTCACATGATGCCAGGGGAGATAAAAGGTTTATTACGAAGTCCATAGAAATATCTGTTCATATTGACATGCAAAACGCATATTATAATTTGCATTCTCGGGGCTGTCAATAATTAAATGGCACAACCCTTTGAAGTCTACCCGGTCACCACCCGATACCCAATCTAGTTATATACAGTATATATATAATAAACTTAACTTCTGAAGGCAGACAGTAGTGATACTCGTATTATTTCCCTTTTTTGGCAGTCTTGTATCTGCCACCACCAGCTGAATTACCCTGTGAACGACCAAGATCGATGTAACTAATAAACAAGCAAACAAGCACCTGAGAAGTAATTAACAAAATATTTAGTCCGAAAGACACTGGCAAGAACCAGCACTTTATTAGGGAATTACTAAATGATTCGAGTTTTTATTATAGTCTATGATTAATATATCCTAGTAATATTAAGTGTATGCCCATAGTTTTTTTAAACATGTTATTAACTTTAACAATATATACGTAGTTTTTAATAACCGGGACGCAGGTCATAGTTATGGGATATTTGATGCAGTAACATTGGCACGGGTACATTGTGCAGCTTAATTACCTCAGTCCAGCCTGGCTCGATTTATTTTTCAATGTGTGCATAGTTGGCCGGGGAAGACAGGACGAAGTTTTATGACGAGGATCAATTTCATCGGTACGGTCGCAGCCGCATTCGAAACAGCTTGCGACTAGTTACAATATTGTAAAGGCTCCGATACGAGCCTAACAATTAAGATGTACTGGAAGAGAAATTTACATAATGTGCCAAAACACCCTCTTCACTATATTAGGCTTGATGTTTAGTACACTTTCAGCAAGTAATTAGTTATCAAAAAGTAAGTAATTATCAAAAGAAGGCACCAAACCGGGAAGGCTATGTAGCACCACCAAATGTGCGGAATAATCAGAGGACGCTAAATATAACCAAGGATGCCAATACGAGAACAAAAACGCATAAGGCGAACGACACTTTCAGCAAACTACAATTTGTGTGTACGTAAAGCTGGAGCAGTGCAGCTTAAAAAGTTATGGTAGACTATTTTGGCTAGCGATAATCTTCAGGTAATTGCGGCTCTGCTGTATTTAACAGCATAATATTTTGCTCCGTTGAAGATCAATTATTCATACTGTTGCCGTCTAATATCCCTTAAGGCGATGTAAAGCAAAGCCTATGGTAACTAATATTAACGTAGATTCTGGTCTACAACATTCTTTGGCCCAAATTTGATTAGGAAAACCTTTGTCAACCAGCCTCAATGTTTTGTTAGGTAAAAATAGTTTGCTTTTAAGGCTGCAGCTTTAGCAGCGTCCCCTTACCAGACTACTGCACTACATGCCAGGCGTTTTTTTAATCTTAATTTATTTTACTACATCCTACGAAGTTGCCAGTAGGTCTCCTGCAGGATTGTGCACCTTAATCTGACGTCAGAAGTTTGTATTCAACACCTTATATGGTGGAGCGTGCATTACACTCATATGAAAAAAAAAAAAAAAAAAAAAAAAAAAACTGGGAAAGGCCAAGATTCAGGCAAGTCCTGTGCAAATTACCGCTTAAGTAGTTAAAGAGTGGTAATCTTTTGGTAGGTTAAATTAGAGCCAGGTTTAGTTTGAATACGGGTCAAGACTTTTCCCAAATACCCCGACGGTTATATATACAGCCAAGCGTCCGGCTGTTTAGAGGATGGGAGACATCTCCCGTCACGCAGGGTGCAGTCGCACCTCCACAGGTCTAGTATCGGCTCTTGGTACTGGCTCACAAGTGCCACCAATTACGGGCTATTCATGCCCGTACCACCTTTTGGGTGGCTTAATCTTCAATCAATCTGCTATTTAGATATCCTTAAGCCACAGTCTGCAATGTGACGCTCACGTTTTAGCTTGTTGGGACTAAGATAAACCACGCGTGACTGGTTCAAGTCTCAAGTATTAATCAAAAGACTAGAGTCTGGTCTTAAAATACAAGTATATCTGCCAGCTTTCCATAGAAAGTTGGTTTGCTGGGTTTTTTTTTGCATTTACCAACAATTTAAACAGTATGCAGAGTTACTTTCTAGTAGGGAACTAATCAGAGATTGTAGTCTCAAAAGATTACCAAAAGCTTCTAGCACGAAGTGGTAAGCAAGAAAGAATAATTAGGTAACGCTTTAATTGCCTATCAAAGTCGATCCGTTTACAAAACCATCCAAGACCATTCAACCAGCTTTGGTTTCATTAATAGACTCCTTAAGTACGTTTAACAAATCCTCAATATCAAGATGCTTCTTTCCAGTTTGCTCGAGTACAGCTGTAAGGTTTATTAATTTATTAGGATCAAATCTGTGTCTACGAGATAACATTTTATCTTTGGCAGTCTTCAAAGATGTCTCCGGATCTTTAGGAAGCATAGCCAAAAAATCTTGCACCTCTTGGAATTGCAGCAACGCACGCTCGAAGTCCAGGAAGAACGGAGGCATTAGGGTCACGGGTAGCATAGGATGGTCAGAGTCCGGAAAACTAGGGTAATTAATACCGGCAGCATCTTCCACACATAAGAACATGGTCAAGATCATCACCGCCACCACACTCATCCCAAATCCTGGAAAGAGAAATTTTTTATAAACTTAAAAATGCACAAAACACTACGAAGCTCACAAGAACCAGATGAATTAAATGAAAATGTTAACGTACTTTGCTTAAAATACATTGGATATAGTCGACCAAGCCCAGCAATATGATCAGCCGTAAGAGAGGAGTCCAAACTGTACAAGGTGCAGGCCAGAACTAAGCAGCTCGGGGCCGCCCGCCCGCGAACTAACCAACAACACCAAAATATTCACAGACTTGTGGCCTCAGGAATCAATAACATCATAAACCTGCGACGCATTTATTGCCAGAATACGTAGCTGACCGATAGATGGAGTTAGCTGCGTCTACTATTAATAGACATTCAACACCTGAAATATCTTTATTGATATGAAAATAATAATAATTTATTCACAGGAAGGTATTCAAGTTGGTGAAATTACATAGGATTGGTATTTTGACATTCTTGCAAAGCCACTAACACTCAGAGTTAGATAATAATAAAATAAATTATTTTAAATATCAAATAAGCCAGAATATAATATTAAACAAAGCGAAAATTAAAATTACAAGTAAATAAATCAAAATAGTCATAGAGGTGTACGAATCAGTAACGAGCAATTCAACATTTGGTTTGAATATTGACCAATAATTTATATACTAAACGTAAAAATGTTGTCTTCTGTACGATGTGTCTTGTATCCATGTCGCCAGCTTAAGATAGCCTCTTCACGGCTTTACTCCTGTTTAAAGCTTACGTCTTGTACTAATGGCTAAGTCGGGAGTTCATGGCTCACTAACGCCCGGTAACGCTACTAAATGTGCTGTAAATTTCAATGACAGTTTCCAGGAACTTCTTGGTGTTTTTTTTTAATCAAAATTTCGCAACTTAGGATCGTGAAGATGTAGTCGAATGGTCATAAAATTTCCAAATACCCTCAAATAAGGGTGCGAGGGATGCACATACCATAGTAATACTTGGTAAACATTGCAGATGGCGCTCGCATCGGAGAATTACCTGGGTCTTTGAAGCAGCAAAAGGTACATCTCGCGTGGAGCATTGACCCTCCTAACTTTTTAATGGCAGTTCACTTGCCTCCCCGGTCCTCCTCTTAGTAATGGTGGCGTAGAGGGAACACCATTTTAATTATCTCGGAGAGGGAAGACAGCCTTAAGATTCTCACACGAGGAGGAAACGCAGTCTTAAGGCTCGTACGGTAAGTGAACACAACCTTAAGACACTTACACGGGGAGGGAACACAACACATCTTGGAGACCAGAACCCAGCTGTACACAGCGTGGAGACCAGAACCCAAATAGACTAAACAAAAATCACAAAATTAGTGAAGCTTAACTATCAAAACATGCAGTACATAGTTAAAGATGTGTGCATGTTGGTTTTTGTTGTTCAAAAATGTGTATCCTTCATGTTAATTTTCTTTTTCTTAACGTATTGATAATTTTCGCGTCTAAGTTCTGTTAAGAACAACTATGTTTTGATTTCATTTACGAGGCTAGAACCGGGGCTAGGTTATTAAGTTCCATGTTCTCAGAACACAATCTGCAATTGCTAATTGAATTACCCACGATTGCAAGGTCCACTAGTACACTGTTGTGGAAATTATTTGGTTACATCGGCAGCATCAATCTTCCATCGGAGGTTATTCCCGAGAGACTCTGCTTCGGAAGAGGACTTGGAGTTTGTGGTGGTAACATTCCTTTTACAGTAGCCTCTCCAGGATAATGTTTGGTCATGGCGGTATCACATGAAACTCAAAGGAAACTAAATTCTTAGAGTGCTTATTAATACTAAAAGTTACATTTATAAGAAATATTAATTAGTCGGCTGTCAACGTCTCGAAAATTGATGTCATTTTGTAAACAAACATCCTGACGCATTCAGAATTCCCTTGAGTTTAAATTTCTCTTTGTAAACCCTTGTTATCTGGTTCCTAGTTGATGGTACCAAATTGATGATGAATATGGTGTTGTAACACCAAATTCGTAATCAAATAATGACCTTAATAATACTCCCACTCTCCTTAATAACAATCACATTGCCTACCTTGGGAGTGTTATTAAGCGCACCACCATAGCGCACTCACAACCAAATATTGTTTAGTAGAACTTTAGTCTTGAACGTAGCCCAGGACTAAAGTAAACTCTTGAGTGCATATTCACCTTGAAGCTGGGTACACCTCTCAGTGTGTATACCCCTTGCTCTGTTCACGTATGTAAGCGCTAGAAATTTCTGGTTGGATGGTTGATAGAGCTTGTGTTAATGGGCAACTTTTACTGTGATTGCCTCAGTACAACCGTTAAGGGTAGGGGGTGATGGAATTAAATTAATTGGAATATCGCGGTTCTGTATAATTGGTGAGTTGTCCGATGTCAGGAAAAATCAGAAGCCTACCCCATCAACACCTTAAAGCATCATGACTGGCCTCTATGCAGGCACGGCCCAGCTGATGGCGGAAACCACACAATATATACTCTTTTGTTTGGACCTCTGCTAATATTTCGATGAATATGACGAACCTCACACAATTAGCCTTGCCTCATCTGAGCAACCCTAACTTTATGTAACATATCTGGCCAAGAATAGCCTAATCTGCCTAGCCTAACTTAACCATACCTAATCTGGCCAAGTTACTAACGAAGGAATAACTTATTTAAGTGGTGCTTAATTTCTCTAATCCATCCTCCACTCCAAGACTATAAGGCAAATATTAACATCATTATATATATAGGAGGATTGTGCATATTTAAGGTTAGGAAAAGTGTTTTGTTACGTTGATTTAATTATATAATGAACCCTTCCTTGGGCTAATTAGGTGGAGATTAGATTAGGCTAAGGTTTTTTTGTCAGCCTCTCTCACGAGTTGATAAACGTCTAATATGAAATGGTTTTGCCAAACTGTAAGTGTACAACTGTAGATAAATTCGCTTAATATCTCATGCCTGAAAAAACCACTATTCAAGGAATGCATGCGAACTGTATCGTATAAATTCCAGAAAAGAAATTGAGTTTGAACGCTGCGGTTAATGTAGCGAACAAATGCTGGTACATTATGAGGACGGGTAACTTGTAACATTGAACTGTTCAATGTAATTCCATTCCATTTTTTGTACAATGTATGGTATGTAATATCTGGCTTTTATTTGAACAAATCCACAAGGGCCGTGAAGAGGATTTGAACCGTTGAATCGGCCCTTGTGGATTTGTTCATTTGATGCATACGCTATTGTGATTTCTGTGTGTAATAGCTTTTATTTTTTTATTAATGTTTTCTTTAATTCAAATATCAGTTTGTTTGATTTTTCAATGTTAATTTTTATGGTTGATTTGTTAGTGTTTGCAAGTATGTTGTGTATGAGGGAATGTTTGCAAGAGAAGATTTCCTTGGTGTTTCGTGAGCGTCTCCGGCGCCCTCAGAGAGGCGCTGGAGCCGGCGGCCGGTGGCGGTGCCCGCTGCAGGTGTCCACCTCAGTTTCCTCATTGTCACTGGAGACTGGCACCATTATCTGGTGAGTTGATCAAATTTATTCCATGTTGTATGATGTGTTTCATGTGTATTTCAAATAGCTGCATTGCACTCACCAGTGTTTGTTTGAGTACCATTCAAAACATCTGTGCCGTGCACTTTCTCCTCCTCTCTCGTATTTGAACTAGTTTTATTTTGTTATTTTTGCGTCCGTGTATTCCAAAATTTTTAATAACGTACGTGAAATGTGTGTTTAAGGAGGGAATAAATACAATTACACCGCTTGCAACAGATGGTGTTGGTGCTTTGTGAGGTCCCGGGGTATTTAGAGAATAATAATAATATGGTTAATCTTCAAGACCTTCTATTCTCTTCCTCTGTAGCCTACAGTGCAACCCATTCCTCTTACTAATTACGTCGCTTTTCGCCCGTATGCGCACTCAGGCTAAAAATCGACGTAATTCGAAATTAAATCGGCTGGCGAAAGTGACGTATTGTCCCGTTTTCTGTTTTGGGTGCTCTGGCTTAGGCTGTTAGGAGAGGAAACTTTCAATTAACGGTGTTCATGACGTTTTGAAACCTTAGGAGAACTTCCTGCCCTCCTAACCTACCAGAGGACCCTTAACTTGCTGGTTTGGAAAAAAACAAATGTCAAAATTCCTGTTGCTAGGAACTTTAGCCTCTGTAGAGAGGTGACGAGGAAGGTGAGATGGGGTGGGTGTTACAGATAGAAACTTTTGAAGTTTATTCTTTCGGGGCTCGCTCTTCCCCTCTCCCCACCCTTGCCCCCCCCTCCCTCTCCGTCCTTCACTTTCTACCTTTCTATCCCCCCTGCCTCCCACTTCCTCTCTCACTCCCCGCCTGTTTTTACTCGCTCTCCCTCACTCCCCGCCTCCCTCTCTCTCCACCTCCCATCTTTTTTTCCTCTATTTTATTTCCCCGTCTTCCTCGCTGCTTTCCCTTGGATCTGTTTTTTACCGTCCGCTCTCGTCGTCGTCCATAATGCTTAATAACAACGGGGGTTTCAAAGTGCATTTTCCCAGGCACGGAGAGGAGAGGTGTGTCCATCACTGTCTCCTCTTACTGTTTTCCTTCCGTCATGCCCGCCTCTCTCTCTCTCTCTCTCTCTCTCTCTCTCTCTCTCTCTCTCTCTCTCTCTCTCTCTCTCTCTCTCTCTCTCTCTCTCTTTCTAGGTCGTGCTTTCGTTCACGCTTCCTCTCGCCAACGCTCCCTCATAAACCCTCTCTCACTCTCTGTCTTACGTACAGGAGCCCGAGCGATGTAAAACTAGATATGAAAATAAGTACGGAAGGGAATTGTAGGTTGTTATATAATGATATACCCGCACCAGGCAGAAACAAATGGGCAAAGTTTCTTTCACCCTGAATGCCCCTGTTACCTAACAGTAAATAGGTACCTGGGAGTTAGTCAGCTGTCACGGGCTGCTACCTGGGGTGTGTGTGTGTGTGGTGTGGAGAGGAAAAATATAGTTAGTAAACAGTTAATTGACAGTTGAGAGGCGGGACCAAAGAGCCAGAGCTCAACCCCTGCAAGCACAACTAGGTGAGTGCACATATTATCTCCTGTTTCCACCCAGAGACGAGGAGCGTGAAGAATACCACCACCAGGGACCCGTCCCCCGCCACGACGGGCATGACAGACGAGGAGGTGGTGGAGAGAGAGTTGATTATTTGGACTCGGTTACGACTGTGTCGCTCGCGCTTATATGGCCATATCCAGGCGGTGGAATGGACAAGCAATTC